CACAGCTGTGGAGGAGCGAGCAGGGTGGGATCGGCCACAGCTGTGGAGGAGTAGTGTGCACTCACGGTCACGGGGGGCTGCGCTGGGTGGGAGTGCCCACAGCCGCGCAGGAGCACGGCGTGTGCAGACGTAGCTGCGGAGGAGAACGCGGTGTGGGATCATCCGCAGCAGCGGAAGAGCGTGCGTGGGGCATGCACCCGCAGCTGCGGAGGGGCGTATGGGGTGGGTGCACCCACGGCTGTAGAGGAACGCAGAGGGTGGGAGCGCCCACAGCCCCGGAGGAGAGCGTGGAACGCGTACGCCCAGAGCTGTGGAGGAGCACCCGTGGTGCCTGCACCCGTGGCCGTGGAGGAGCACGTGGGATGCGCGCCCCCGCGCTCACGTAGAAGCACAAAGGGTGCGTGCGCCCACAGCCGTGTAGGAGCTCACACGCGATCGCTTATGGAGTGCTCTCGGTGACATGTGTGCGGCACACAGAGCAGATGGCCAAGTGGTGGGATCATGTCCTCCTCCAGTGGTGGCTCAAGCAAGTATGAGAGTAACCGAGCAGAGATTTCTCCTTTAGTTTAAGCACCCTGTGATTTTGATCCCTGCTGACAACTATGAAAGCTATACATCCAGACAACTGCATGCTATGGATACGCTACCAAAGCCCAGATCCGCATTTAGGACCTAAGTTTCCCTTCTGTTTTTCTCCCTCCCCCCATTTAACTCTTTAGTACTGATCATGCACCGGAGTGGACAGTTGGAGAACAAACAGCTCGGAAATCAAAGGGCTGTCATGTTCCCCTCCACGGAAAACCTTTCACAGAGCTTCCCCCTGCCTTTTCAGTGCCCCGGCTGCCTCCCGTCCCTCCAGCAGCCAGCCGGCACGCTGCTCCTCTGCTATTCATGGCCAGCGTGCAGCTGCAGCTACTCTCCTAGGCTGACACAGCAGCAGCTGCTATATGTGTGCCAGCTGGCTAGCCGCTCTCCAAAATCCTCTTGTCCGCCCGCTCCCCTGCTTCCCCACCTACAGACCTGCTTCTCCTTCCCCACCCACGGCTCCCACTTGCCACGATCTGCTCCGGTTTCCTATCTCCCCGCTGTCCTGAGCCTACCCCTCTGCTGTCCTGATTCACCTTACCTGCTCTCCAGGAAGCATCCCTTACTTTCCCTCTCATCCCTCCTGAGCTCAAACGGGAGCTCTCTGAAGTGGAGCGGTGAATATTGCTTTTAATTATTTTGCGTGTCCTCTCTTTGAAACTGTGCCTCCCAACATAACTGCATTCAAGCATTTTTTTGGTTAAGATAACCTCTGGTATAACCACCTTTAGAAGGCGGCAAAGGGAAAGCAGGGGGAGCTGAGGGAGGGCCGGCACCTTGGTTTGAGGTATTTTCAAGTTGCCACGTTTTGCTAATCAGAAACTCTGCTGGGCCCCTACCCTTGCCCAGCTGCGCTGCTCGCTGGCTTCTAAATGGCCAGGCAAATGCTCTTCAGTTTTTAATTGCTTTTTCTGGTGGCTGAAGGGAAGGAGTTTCTTACACGAGCTTTCCGCATAATGATTATTTTGTGGTGGATGGCAGCCAAAATATTTTGCAAGACAGGTATTTTGTTTGCATGTATCATCATAAACAAACATAAAACCTCATAATCTACGTTCAGCATTGTGTGGTCAATATGCCTGTGGAGGAAGACATATATTTTTATCACCAAGCTAAGCAAATGTAATACAGAAGAAAGATGATCCAGCAATTGCAGCATATGCTCAGTCTCTACAGAGCCAAGCTCGGTTACCTGCTGTATCACAGAATTTCTTTGTTACCTTGAGTACACTGCATGCTCTTTTTGTGCTTTGGTTTCGCCTTTGTAAATATTCTGCAGTACTCAAAAACTCTGATGCCATTTTAAAATGCCTTTTCTCGCTGGAACCTGACTTCACAGCAGCAGAGAGGGGAGGTACAGCTATTTCCAGGCATTCTCTCTGCTCAGGGAAAATTTCATTTTATTCTTCTTGGTGCTGCAGCCCCATTTTCAGCCTGAACTCCTTAGTTCTCTCGCCATGGTTATTATTTCTCAAGTGCCATGGATTTTCACTCTATTCTTCTCCAGGTATGGAAAGTTGTTTCATTATAGTTATGCACAGATAGTGACGGTTTTCAGGAAGCTCAGCAAAAGTCTTTCTTAACATATGAGCTTTGAGCTTTTAAAAAAGCCCAGTGGCCAGATCTGGAGGTGAAAGCTGAGCAAGGCTAAGAGGAGCCGTCCCTCACAGCTTGGACAACCTGCATCAGACCGTCCCTGTGGGACCAACCCTGAAGGGGAACAGTCCAGCCTCCGGCACAGTCTCTGCCTTCCCACCGGGGCTGCCTCCCACTAGCATTTGGCGCGGGGGGGGGGGGGAAGTTAGGTAAGATGAAAAGCCAAAGGTCCTGCGCAGTCCTTGGGGTGCCTTGGTCACTTCCAACGGGCCACCGAACTCTTCTGCGCCCAGGAGTGCGGTGGCAGGATTTTCCCCCCTCTTCCTTCAGCGTTTGCCAGGCTCTGGCCCCCAGCCGCAGGACAGCTCTCACCACCGGGCTTCCCTCGCTCTGAGCAAGCACGCTGGAGGCGCCCAGCTCCATAACTCATTCCCAATCAGCTGCACTCTCCAAGGCCTGCTCAAGGCCCCCGGCTGCCAAGTGTAATGTGTCTCCTCTTACACCCACACCTGCAGCCCAGCCTGCTGTCACCCAACCCGCCGCCTTTCCTGGCCGTCCTGCGTCTGGCTGCACCCTGCGCCGGCAGCCGTCCTTTCCCCAGTGGGTGAGGCTGGGACCTTTCCTTCCCCGCTGCGGGGTCGTCCTCCCCTCGCCTTCCCCGGAGAAGGGTCCCTGTGCCTTTGCGTTGAGTCGCGGGGCTGTCTGTGCGGTCCCGTGCGGGCAGGCACTCGGGGGAAGTCGATATAAATTTCCCCATGCCGAGCACCAGCTTCGAGGTGCCCTTCTGTCACTCCCTCCCCACCAAAACAAGGGCTAGCGAGATCCGGATTAAAACCCCAGAAATATCCTCCCACTGCTGTTCCCTCGCTTCCTCCTGCTGCTGCTCCTTCTCCGTTCTCCAGCAACCCCTGCTGAGGGCAGCAAGTGGGAATGGGGGGCTGTGCATGAGAGAGGGGTGGAAACAGGGCTGAGGAAACTCATGCTTGACTTTAACCAGGGTTGGAGCTTGCAGTCAGCAGTTCGTTACTCATCCTGCACAAGGGCCGGGACTGGAGAACATCGGTCCCTCTGGCAGGGGAGGGATGCGCTCACCGCCAGCCTCAGGCAGGGTGGAGTGCCGGCATCCCGCACCTCCTCGTTCCCAGCCCTCTGGGCCAGGATTTTTGCTTTTGTGCTCTGGCTGTGCACTTGCGCGAAGTTTATGCCTGTATGCAAATCCTTTCAGTATGCTCATTAAATCATTTGCATAAAATATCCCCGGAGGATCATAGCAGCTAGGAAGGGGCAGGGTTTATCCATTTGCCTTAGAGACGGCAGAGGTATAGGGATGTCATTTGTCAGTATGCATACGGATATGGACATATATCTCATTTACCCAGGCCAGAATGTGTCCGCTTGGGAAAGTTAAAGGCAAGAAGATCATTTTGGATGTTGTCCATCTGAAACTTGGCAGGGTAGGAGTTAATCCTCCCTTTCTGGCCAGAAAGGCTACAGCTGCCTGTCCTGAGAGCAAGGCATTGCAGGACCAAACCAGCTGTGAAGAATTAATTTCTCTCTTTCCTCCTCCATGAGAAGCCTTGTGGGCTGGGGCTAAGAATATGAATGGAGAAGACTGCTCAGGAAGAGAGCTAGAGGGTAACCAGAGAAGAAGGATTTTTCTTTCTCTCTTCTTTGTGGAACTTGGCTGAAGCAAGGTATTTTGAGCTTTGGTGTGGACTTGGCAGGGTGAAGATATGTCTTCTCCTTTGACTTTGACTTGGAAGAGTCCTGTTGGATTTGTATGGCTCATGTAATGACTTTAACGACTGTGTACATGCATGTGCGTGCTCCTCATGGAAGCAAAGCAGACTTGAACTGCAAGGACTTTGTTTTTAAATATCTTCCAGTATAAGACCTGGGAGTGGTTTCTCTTAGTTAGGATTGAGCTGCTAGTACAGTCCACAAGAAGACCAAGCAGAGAAGGCATAAGGTAGTGCTTATATCTGTCTTCCTTCCCAACTACTACTAGGAAAGTAAAGTTATGCTTGATGGAAGTTGTGCCAGGAAAGAAGCTGAGATCTTGGCACCACCCTTTCCTATTTCAGTGGTTGCCCAGCTCTGAGCTGGCGCTGGTCTCTGTGGGCTCCAGAGCAGAAAGAAGGTGGTTTCCTATCGTTTCAACTTTGCTGCCTGGCATGCTTTCTGCTTTTGGGGCCTGGTCTTCTGCCAGCAGAAGCATATGCTCAGTCTGGCCCGAGAAGTCGATTGGTCTCAGTTTGTGCAGCTTGGTACGAAAGGCCAGCAATATTAATAAAATGAGGGCGCTCTATTAATAAAATGAGGGAGCTCTACTGAACGCAGACTTTGAGAGTTCCTCCCAACTGATCACCTGCCATGTTTCAAAGCCTTGCCTACAATGTTAGTGTTTTCTAGTTATGAGAATGTGATGCGGGTGTCAAAATCCCTAATAAAGGATAGTTTTGTTGGATCTACTAGTTCTTGCAAACCCTGCTGCCCTGGTGACAGGAAAAATATCTGGGTGATTCAACAAATTTGTGTTAGCTGTTACTTACTTCCTTGTTATTTTCCAGATGTTTATAGAACATTTCTTTATTTGTTCCAGTTCTCTCTGGGAATTCAAATGAGGTTGGCTTGTGCTTTATTCTTCAGCTCCTCCATTTTCCAAAAAGGCATTATGTCTCTCTTCTCCAGTCTTCTGACACCTTGCTGGTTCTCTGTTGAGTCCCAAAGAGCTGCTAACAGCCGTGAGGTTGCTTCAGCAAGCAGTCTAAGCACAGAATATTTAACCCAGCTAAGTATTCTTCACTTATTCTTACTTCTTTCTAGACTGAGATCTTTCTGTCATCCATGGCACTAATTGTGTTAACCATTTGGGTGCAAGTGGTCTTTCTACTGAAAGCTGAAGCGCAAAAGGCAAGTACTTCCACTGTCTTCACATCATGCACTGCTAGC